TTTACATGACAGGCAGGGCAGGGTGCTTTGAAACTAACAGGGAAGCCCAAACAGTTACCTACACTATTTTTTGGGGGGGGGTTCCTTATCATATCTATAGTATTATGGGCCCCAAAACCCTGTTCGAATTATTCAGGCCCCTAAAATAACAGGCAGGGCAGGGTGCTTTGAAGCTGAGGGTTGTTTAGGGCTTGCTAGCCAAACAAACCCGATAACGTAGAGTGCTTGTAGGTGTGGCAGCAAGGAGGCTGGGTTTGCTGGCGATCTCCGGTAGATGGGTGCTGCCGTAGCCCGTGGGGGGGGCGAAATAAATGTAGTATCCAGAAGTCAGAGCTTAAAACAAGGAAAGTGCGCATGAGTGTTCATGAAGATACCAAACCTTGAAACCCACTTTGATCACATTGAAACATCAAAGAAAAACTTGTACCGAAAGAGTGGGCGCAAGCGTAGAAAGTTGTGCCAGGAAACTGGCCGCTCATGAGGGACACGGTGATGTAGATCGGGGGGCCAGCATACTGCTGCTGCACCACCAACTGCAAAGCACTTGATGGTTTTGCAGCCATTAGATTTGCATTCATAGCCTCTGAAGCCAGTTCTGAAACCAGGCTTCGGTGACTTGCACTTTGAGATTCCATGGTTAGGGAGAGGCTGGAACTTAATCTCGAGCTGGTGCCTTGAACCCCGAACAACTCTACGCATTCAGGCGAAGCGCATCGAATGCGTAGGTCACATACCACACCTACCTGCCCACCTCCCTATCTACCTAGCTACACGCCCACGCCACCATCAGGACTTGTAAAACTACAACTGCTCCTGCTACCGCTGCAGCTGGTCCTGCTATACTGCTACTGCTACTGCTACTCCGGCTCCTTATCCCTACTTGCTACTACTGCAACTACTACTACTACTACTACTACTACTACTACTCCTGCTACTGCTGCTGCTAGTACTACTACTACTACTACCACTACTACTACTACTACTACTGCTGCCGGCACGACTACATTACCACCCGCACGACCGTCCACAGCCGTCCGCGACCGACAAAGCCACGACCACACCGACCACTACCACTACCACTACCACTACTACTACGACCACCACCACCGCCACCACCACCACCACCACCACCACGACTACGACGACGACGACTACTACTACCCCAAAGCAGGTACTGCTCTTTCTGTTGATGCTTCAGTCCTCGAAGTGGGTACTGTTAAATACTTGGGGCCTCAGGCAAATATCTGTCTTAGGTGTCTTACTGATCAGAGGAGGGTTTTGGAGTGTGTTATATACAAAAAATTCTTTAGGGACGCTAAGGTTCTAGCATTTCTAAACATGCCCACCCCGATGCTATAGAAAACCCTCAGCCCTAAGCCCCGATGCTATCACAAACCCTGGAGTCCTAAACCCTAAAC